AAATCTTATACTTATCCCCAACGCTGGGACAAAGGGCTTAGCTTTATGTCTTCAATCAATGAGAAGAAAATATGGTTCACCACTAATTCACCAAAATACTTTCTGAAGTAATAGAAAAGCTTCGGCATCTGTCCCAACGAGAAGCCAGTAGAGCTATATACTAGCAATGAGTTGGCGAACAGCGAGAAGCGAATCTGTAGTTTAGATAGTTTTATAGCTGGACTATAAGCGAGTGTGGGAGTACGACGGGCGATTAAGCGAGCCACTACCACGCGGAGGCAGTTCTAAAAATTCACGCTAGTGCGTTCTGGCGGCCAAGGGAATATAGCTGAGCAAGTATCACTGAGCGAATATTATCTTTGATAGCTCTTGTCATTTTTTGACAAACTAGTGAGCGACTTCTGGCCGGCAGTGGGAACAAGCAGCGATTAAAAAGGGTCATTCACGTTGAAACAGTCGCACAGACTATCAACCACGGTTCGATAAGTATACAACGTATCAGTGACTTGAACTTGGGCGTCGAACTTATCGCATACGACCAAAGTCCTTGCGACCTGTGTAACGTGCATGGCTCCTGTAACTTTTAATATATGCATAAATTTTGTTTACACGTAATGATTATCTATTGTACTTTTCTTAAGAGGGAAAATAGCTAAAGTTAGTCGCTTTTACGCCGGCGGTGAGACCATATAAAAAAAAACCTCCTACGCCCAAGCCTAAATATAATGAAATACGGTCACCCATCCGACGATCGGCCATGACTTGCATAACATTTTGCATTACTTCCATAATCGCATAAAAGCAAGCTAACTTTGTTTCATCTAGTTACTCGCTATTATTAGTAATAGCATGGTGTGTTATAAATGTACCGTTTAATTAATAATTACTAATTACATCTACAGTCTATTTACGGAAAATATCATTTTAAATGTCCTCTAACGGAGACATTTCTATTTATAATGAGGGTGTCATTAGTTAATTGATATTCGAATTTCTATTCATTTCTGATTATGGTGCCTTATATATCTCTTTTTCGATGTATAGTGAAATGTATAGATATATAGGTCAACCTCCAGTAATGGACGATGTGAATGGAATGGGAGAGACGCCATAGGAAGAAAAAGTAAAACCACTTACCTGTATAATTTCTTTTCATTATAAGTTATATAAAATAACAATACCAGCCCAAATTGTTAAGGATGATATGATAACGTATTTAGAGTATAAATATAATATATAATTATAAATATTTATTTCGCATTTTATTTAAGATTCGATCAATATTCCAAAAACTTGTTTTTTTTTTAAGTTTATTGTCATATAATCATTTATATTTTAACACTATCACTTGAATTTCAATCGGAGATATGAAAAACTTTCTTTTATTGTGATAAAACATTATATTCATTCAATTATTCACATTTATTTGCTTTGCAGCGTTGTCTAAAAATTTATGGGCCACCTCACAGCAAATTAATAGTACTTCTGTATTGTTGATTGTGTTTAGTACCACACATCGGTGAAAGTATGCGTAAAGTGTTTCTTGTTGTTAGATTTCCTATGTGTGTTGCTGTGTTTATTGTAAAAAGACCAAATTATAAAAATCAACATAATAAATTAAACTAAAATCTTTGCGAATGACAAGTACTTTTTTAATATGAATTCCTTTTTCGGTGATATTATCAACATCCAGCCGAGTATTTTTCAGTGTCGGCACTACTTGTTCTGTGATAAAACGTTTAGTGCGCAATAACCAAGACCGTTGCCGCATTCTTTTAACAAATTAAGTACGTCTTTTAAATTCGAAATTACGACCAACATTTTTACTCCTTTACCCGGGTAAGCCACGCGTTATGTACGTGACACCGGGATGCGAGGCGATAAAATTCCCCAAGGAATGCTATTCGCATCCAACGGCCCGCTAGGTGGCAGTTCCGACTTGCCACAAAAGTTTGACTTCATTTTCGCAGCCGAACAAAATCTTTGTTACCTACCAAAATATACTCGTTTTATGAAGATTCTTGATACTGAGAATTTAACAAGAGCATGCTTTATTCAAATATAGTACTTTTCCCAAATGTGCCGCTACTTATATTCAAATTAAGTACTTTTCTCAGATGTGCCTTTAAAGGCTGTTCAACGAACTTTTTTTTCAACCAATTCAGCATGTTTAGTATTTTTATTATCACTTGATGTTTTTTCATTGAAACTATTGAAATGTCAACTAATAAGAAACAGAAGAAAGGCGTTCTTTGTTCGTTAATTTATGCTTAGCAGCCTTATTATTTACCCGCTAAATCGCACAATGACAATACGAAACTGTCGTGTCCATAGTATCATTTGTTGAAGAAGCATTTTGTCATCGTACACTTGGCATTATGGCGATTCACGCTGACTCCTCTGCACTAACAATAGTCTCTTGCGAACCACTAGTATGCTATTCAACTGACCCAGTGGGCTTCATCCAAATTTATGACGGTTTGAAATATTCACCTCGTTAGTGAAATTTGGAGCTGTCGACGTCGTGAGTACTCTCCGTCGGATTGTGCATGAAAGGATTTCTAGCTTTAACGTCAGCATTCTATTGTATACCTACATCGTTGGAATAATGTATGATAGTTTACCTGAAACATTTTAAATAAGCAACTGGATAAATATTATTTTTTACTTTAAAATTGTTAACGATTCTGACCATTATTTAAATCAACGAAAAGTTACCAGTGGCTATAAAATTTGAGCGTTGGTGTTTAGCTAAATTCTAAAAATTTCTTAAAGGCGGTAGATATCCGTTATGAAAATTTATTTTTTTTAGTACAGAAGGATTTTTATTAACAGTCATAATACAATAAAATTCCTTCCATCCTGCCAAGAATTTTTCATTGTCATTGAAATTTCAATGAAATTTTTTACGTCGGACGGTATTAACTAAACACTTTTGACTCTGAATAAATAGGAACTGAAATTATATGTTTGTTTGTTTACATAGTAAACAAGAGTTGTTCATATTCTCATATTACAAGTAAACAAACAGGCGAATTAACAAAAGAAGATATTAAAAGCCACATTGTTGCATGCGAGCTTACAAATTCGTTAAAAGCGTAAACACGCTTTCAAGTTATCTCACTTCGTCTGCAACGTGCAACTGAATGCAGATTTAATTAACTTTGATCTCATAAAGTGCGGTTCCAGCAGTAATGATAAAACATGTCCATAACTTTAGTGTCTGCTCTTACAATTTTGTTTGCTCTTTCTTTAATTCCTTATCTGGCACTCAGCTTTCCTTTTCATTTCTCAAAATGTCCACGATAAAATTTTAAGCAAGCCAGCATCCAATTTTTAGGTCATGCCTACCCTCGCTTTCATGTTGAACCATGGATGAATTTAAATAAGCTCTCAACAACGCCGAGTCGAGAATTGCATAAATATTAATGGTTCCCTGACTAGAAGACTGATGGATACGGATTAACCGAAGGGAATCTCCTTATAGCAGAATTCGGACGCAATGTGTCTGGTGGCAAATTGTTTTATGTTCCGTTTATGTCATGCTGACATTGGGTATCAAAGATATGATAAACCGAATTAAATTTACTGGTAAAACTTATTCTGAATATTCTTTCACTAAACTAACAAGCTATACTGGTTAATTGACTTCTATTGCTATTTTAAATTATTTTGTCAGCTATTATTTTTTTCTAAAAAAGGTTTTATAAGACAAACTCTATTAGGCTCGAATCGAACGAACGTCAATTGCCATCTGGGTGTAAGCACTGAAAATTATTCTTTAAGTTTCCTAACTCATTTTTCAATCAATCCATTTAGTTAGTACATACTTATTTTAAAAAATAAATTACGCTGTTTATCATGATTACATTCTGTTAGAATATAATCAGGTCCTTAAATTTTATACTAATTACGGTACATTTTACAAGTGGCATGGTAAGGATCTTGATGGCGCAAGTGGTTAGCGCGTTCGGCTGCGTGGAAGTTAAGCTACTGTCGCAGTGGTCGGTCATTGGATGGGTGACCAAAAATTAATTATCTCAAGTTCCTTTGTTCTTCGCAAGGCACATTAAGTGGTTGTTCTCGCTGCATCTGCGGTCGTAAGCACCCACCAATGCCCCAGCAGTGGGGACATTAATAGGCTGATAATGATTACAATTATCGCATTAAGCGTTTTGAATTGTTTCATTTTGTGGAGAAAACAATCTCATAGTACCAACTCACATCAAATAAGTTTCAAGGGTATTACACAGAATCCAATCCGACTTCAATTGGCTTTGATCATAGGGAAATGAGGGTTTAGTGTCAGCTAATGGAATTCAAGTGTTAAACGAAGCTGAATAATGCGCTCAAAATAGCTTTATAGAGCTCTTACCGCGCTCTTTTAGCAACTTCAGATATTACTGTATTGATGAAGGTAAACGAAGCTTTTTAGGGCTCAATACTCAAAGGGTGGCCCTACAAACGGATGTATTCCTTGAGTATTCAGTAGGCATAAGAAAATTTGTAGAAGCATAAATATTAAATTGGATTACTATAAGATAATCATTACAGTAATATAAGTTATTTACGGGATGGTAACCTGTTACCATGTACCTTGTTTTTAGCGAGTTTCCGATATTTCGGCACTGTTGCAAGCGCCATGATCACGGAGTAACTGGCGCTTGCAACATTGCCGAAATATCGGAAACAAAAGATAACGAGCAGGCAACAACTTTAAAAAATACTATAGAAACTAAATCTACCAAGGAGATCGGCAACATCATCTTTTTTCATACCAGTTCATAAATTACATGCGTACCAAATTTTACTCAAAGCCCGTTCAGTAGTTTTGCGTGATTGAGTAACAGATATACATACAAACAAACATAGAAACTTTAACATTTATAATATTAGTAGGATGACAATAAAAGTAAAGGCTTTGTCAGTAGGTAATTTAGTAACAAAGCGATAAATATCTTTTCATCGATTGCCTAAAAGCTTTTTTCTTCTTGTTTCAGGGCTGACCGCAGTGAAAATTGTGAAAGTGGTAGTGCCGGAAATAATTCAGTATGGCGTGCAGGATGCCGTGATCTTAGACTGTGATTACACTTACGGTAATAATACTTCGGGTTTAGTGGTGAAATGGTTTTTCAAGAACAAAGCGAGACCCGTGTACCAATGGATCGCGAGCCAGAAACCTCAAGATATGGGCATCTTGAGAGGCCGCGTGGACTTAACATATAGGGCGTCTAATGACCCGTTGAAAATGCATCGGGCCTTAAGGATAGTTAAGCCTGATACGGAGATATCTGGTGACTACACGTGCGTCGTGTCCACGTTCATGGAGGAGGACTCTAGGACGAAACAAATGACAGTTTTCGGTAAGTGTATATTTTTTATATGCAAAGAGCACGCACTCCAGTTGATAGGGCAATTTATTTTTCGTGTGTGACATAAGATAGAGAAGACAAATGAACATCGCATTAGATGTTTGTAGAATCCTTAGAGGAAGTTCATAATAGTGATAACTTACCAGTCCATTTGTTATTTCCCTAAGTTGAAAACTTATCACGGCCGCGCTGAATCAACATCATTATTTATTTCTAAGTTTGATTAAGATTCATGCTTTCATGCTATCACTATGATAATGTTAGCAATAGAATAAGGCTGGTTTTACAGTCACGCCGCTAGACGCACTATTAGGAAGCGCGCTGTTCAACAGCGTTTACCGAACAGCGCTGCTCAAACGCGCGACTTTGAAATAACCCTATACATCTCGGCGCGCGCTCGAACGGCGCTGCCGAAACGCGTAACGATACAACGCGTCCAAAAGTGAATGCATACTTGGCCGCACCACAGTCTCCGCAGTCCCCGCAGTCCTCGCAGTCATCGCTTTGTGTTAATGGCCTCGCACATCTATTCGCACCGCAGTCACTGCAGTCGTTCCCGTCGCCGCACGCGTCGGACTTGATTTCATTCATTCAGTTGATGCGAATGACGTCATCAGCTGCGGCTTGGGGAGTTCGGTCGTTTCAGGGATTGCGGCGACTGCGACGCGGGTGGGTGTGCGAGGTTGCATAGAACTTCATATAAAGAATTCGAATGCGAAGACTGCGGCGCGTGCGGTGCAGCCAAGTCTGCGTTCACCTTAAGATAACACTTTTTACCTTACAGGATCGAAAAACTTCAAAAAGTCATTCCTTCAAAAATATAGTGCTCTATATTGTAATTACACTAGTCACAAAAAGCAATAATGACATGACAAATGACACACTGAAAGTAGTATAAGACATTTAAATATTATACAAAAAATATGTTTCTAGTGGGTGAATCGAAATGACTGGCTTTGTGGAAAATCATATGAGGAAACCGAAAAATTGCTCGCTGTTGTATCCTAAATAACATCACTTGCATCTTCTCATACTTTCACCATACATACGCACATACAGACGCACACACATACGCACTCACACACACTCACACACACTCATACACCCACTCATACACACACACACACACACACACACACACACACACACAACACATACGCGTATTCTATCTATTTTATGTAGTCATTAATTTTTATTAATATCTTTGTCATGAACAAATGCTGTTATCTGATCTGCTTCGCTATCCTGTAATAATTTATTACTGTGTCATGTTAAGGAACCTATTGGAAGGGTCTGAATCCCTAAACACAGGCTATATTTATAGCCTATCTAGGGTCAGTTGTACGTTTTCATTTTATGACTACTGCCTTATGTAAAAAATATACTAAAAATAAATTCCAGTACTTTGTCTAGTAAATTTAACAGCTGTAAAATTTTTGTCTTCTTCAAAAACAAAAAGCTTGGCAGGATATAATGGAAGAATACAACGTTATTACTGGTCATTATCTTAAAAAAAATCGATCAAAAAATATGTACCTACTTATATTATAGTCGACAATTTTTTCGTCATCATCAGAAAACAAAAAGTCATCCATCATTCAGAAATAAATAAAATAAAATGTTATCTCTATAAAAACAAACAACACAGCCTATAACGATTTTGACGTTTTAAATCTCGAGTTAGCAATGGTTCCAACTTTGGCAGGTTAATAATTTAACTATTTAACCTAAGCTTTAGTATTAACTCGTGGCAGTGCAAGAAAAAATATTTTTTCAACCCCAGTTTAATAGTTAAATAATAAATAAATATTTCCGACACTCACACCAATTAGCCTAGCCCCAAAGTAAGCACTATAAGGCTTGTGTTATGGGATGCTAGGGTAACGGATAGAATACATATACTGTACATATATAAGTATATTTATATAAATACATATTAAACATCCATGACTGGAGTACAAATGCTCGTATTCATCACACAAACATCTGCCCCCACCGGGATTCGAACCCGGGTCGAGCCTCTCGAGTCGGCGACAGCCATGAAACCCGGCGTACAAACCACTCGGCCACGGAGGTCGTCGAATATTTAACTCGTAGGTAAATAAATTAACCCTAGAACGTGCAAGTGGGTCTTAATCCCTTTCTTAATAACGCTGAAATACTTATGAGATCTTGTTGTTCGATGCCTAAATCTGGATGATGCATTGTAGGTATATAGAAACAATAATGTCAATTACTAAAAAATCCTATATTCAATAATTTGCAATGGCTACGATAATAGTTACTGAACAGTTTACCCAGCTATCAGCCTACCAATATCCCCACTGCTGGGGTACAGGTCTTCCCTATGCATGGAATAGGGAGATTGGGCCATGACCCACCACGCGGGCCCAGTGTGGATTTGTGGGTGCTAACGACTGCAAATGCAGCCAGGACCAATAGCTTAACATGCCTTCCGAAGAACGAAGGAACTCGAGATAGTAAATTTTTGGTCACCCATCCAATGATCAACCACTTCGAAAGGTGCTTAGCTTCAACGATCGAAGCCGAATGCGCCTAATAAAATAATAACTAATGATAATAAACGTAAGAAATGTGTTATTTTTGGGGCTTACTTTAAAACATTGTGAAGTCTTCAATTTACAAGCAAGTTGCTAGTATTTCATTAAGGTCTGACAATGCGACAGTTAACCTAAAACACAGACTTTGCCCCCCCCCCCCCCCCTCACACTGTGCTGACATTCTAACTATCCACACAAAGCTGTATGCAAATTCTAAAACAATGCGAAACGCTAAGGACGAAAACCCTTTGACGGTTGCTGAACTTTCCAACTGCTATTCAAAGTTCAAGAACTTTTACGTGTGAGTTTTGTGAGGTGTGGGGACTGTGATGTGTATCTAACAGCGTTACAATTTCGATAGGAAATTCTCCCTTATTTCACCTTCTCTTTTTTTGTAAGACCTCACCGACCTACGTTGCTGTTAGAGTCTATGCGGAAAGAGAATGGGCGTGGCGAAAAACGGAACTAACATTAAGATTTTTATTTGGCAATCAAACCCAGCAATCTGTAAAATGTCAATGTTTTGTATTGATATAGATTTGTTTGTTGTTGTGATCTCTTGCGGTTTTTTGTATTTAATAATGTCTAAAAGGGGTAAAACCTTACAAATACGGTAGAAAAGCACTACAGCGCCCTCCGATCTAAATCCCATTCGCTTTCCGCACAGACTCTACAGTAAACCAATGCTTACTGTATGACCACAATTATAACGCAAACAAAGAAATTAATCAATAAATTTCTTTTGTCACAGAAACCAGTGCTTACTGTGACCATAATATTAACGCAAACAAAGAAATTTAGTAATTAATTTCTTTTGTCAAGGCAAGCCAGTGCTCACTGTGACCACAATTTTAATGCAAACAAAGGAATTTAATGACTAATTTCTTTTTCTTTATTATTAGATATATAAGCATCAACTAGCTACGCAGCGAGCGTTTAATCTATATATATAAAACTCAAAGGTGACTGACTGACTGACATAGTGATCTATCAACGCACAGCCCAAACCACTGGACGGATCGGGCTGAAATTTGGCATGCAGGTAGATGTTATGACGTAGGCATCCGCTAAGAAAGGATTTTGATCAATTCTATGCCCAAGGGGATAAAATAGGGAATGAAAGTTTGTATGAAACTTTGTCAATTTTAAACCGATTGGGCTGAGAGTTTGCATGCAGGTATAAGAAGAATCATAGATAAATGTCATTGTGTATAATACAAGCCTGAGAACAAACACTGTAGTCTACACTTCAGCTCTACACGGCGGGCCGCTAGTCTCTTATATGATACTAGCTGTCCCAGCGAAGTTCGTACCGCCATAAAAAATAGGGGTTGGTGGTAGAAGGGTGAAAATTTAGGGTTGTATGTATTTTTATATGATGTATCATAAAAAAAAATATAACAAAAAAAATAGTCCAAGACAAACATTTTAAGGATGTGGACCCTTAACATTTAGGGGGATGAAAAATAGATGCTGTCCGATTCTCAGACCTACTGAATATGCAAATAAAATTCCGCGAAATTCGGTCGAGCCGTTTCGGAGTAGCTCAATTACGCATACCGTGACACGAGAATTTTTAATAATTAGATTACAAAATCATTTAAATGTGGTGAACAAAAATTCTTCATGATTGGTACTCCGTCACCTATTTCTCGTTCATTATAAGAGGGGCAGATGTCAACCTTTACTTGAAGTTCATATCTTAACAATGTAGTTACGTGGAAGACACCGGGTTAGCTTTTTAAAAACTGAACTAAAAGTGTAGGGTCAAGTGGGGGATTGTAACATAAGGAGTATTTCTGTATTATACCCGGTCATTTTGATGACCTCCGTGGCCAATTGGTATGTACGCCGAGTTTCATGGTGTCGCCTACTCGAAAGGTCCCGGCTTTGAATCCCGATGGGTGCAGATGTTTGTGTGATGAATACGAGCGTTTGTACTCCAGTCATGGCTGTTTAATATGTATTTCTATATAAATATACTTATTAAAGTATCAGTATATGTGTTCTATTCGTTACCCTAGTATCCCATAACACAAGCCTACAGTGCTTACTTTGGGGCTAGGCTAATCTTGGAAACGCGCGGAGGACATTGTAAATCATATATTTAAATGTACGGTTCCTTAAAGCTGTAAAAAAAATATCATTGTCAGCCTATTAATGTCCCCATGGTCTTAGCCCATTCTCTCTAGATTGGACCATGACCACGCGGGCCCAGTGGAGATTGGTGGGTGCTAACGACTGCAGATGCAGCCGGGACCAACGGCTTAACGTGCCTTTCGAAGCACGAAGCAGATGACTGACCACTGCGAAAGTTGCTTAACTTTAAAAATCGCAGCCGAACGCCCTTAACACTTGCGCCCATGGAGCACACCAACTAGAGTCCGCATCACACAAATTTTGTTTGAAATCAAAATCGCCAATGTCGGC